CATCTCGAGGCCTCGGATGGCCATCGGAAGCGAAAACACGAAAAAGCAACAATCATTTGTGTTCTTTGGATGTTCGAGCCTTTTGCGATATTGGAGGCCTCCTCGGGCAGCTATTAGGTAGGCATCTTGGAGCCGTCTTGGGGCAGTCTGGGGGCCCCCTGGAGCATCTCCGGAGCCATCCTTACGCATCTTAGGCTGTCTTCAGCCGTCTTGGAGACCATCTTGGGCTCCCCGAGGCGCTCTTGGAGCAATCTTGACCATCTTGGACGCTCTGATGACCGCTCGCGGAGCGCCCCGTCCAGGTCCGGGGGAGGAGGTAAGGGGAGGGGCACACCCCTCCTCGAAGGGGAAGAAGGGATGTGGAAGAGAAAACTCCCAACACCACCTGCATCTAGAGGGCTGGTGGGATTGAGTGCAGCGTTCGAATGGCAGCACTGGTCCAAATCCTCTCCGAATGCGACCATTCCCCGGCCCCCCCCCACCCCGACCCCTTCCTCTTCCCATTCCCACCCTCCCTTTGAATCCTTTCTCCCTGTCACCGCCCCGTCCTCCCGCACTTGCAGAACGCGATTGTGATTCCTGTCCTGCTACGTTCGGGCAATCGATGTCAAACCTCCAAGGAAAAATCTCCGATCCCAGAAAGCACGGAACCCGCGCCACAGCTGCCCGCGCAACGGCGTGCGAGCACCCGCGTGAGGTCAGGCAGTGCGGCCCCCCCCATCGGGATACGTGACTCCACGGGCCCTTCCGTGCACAGACGCGCGGCCGCCCGGCTGCGCCAACTGCCACAGGACGAGGGGGCCCGTAGCCGTCTCAGCTCAGACGCGGCTCAAAGTCCGAGCCCCGAGCCTCCGCCCCAAGTTCGCTCGCGGCCACGCCGGCCTTTCCTGCAAGATTCGTCAATCATCGCTTCGCTCCTTCCGCCGGCCCGTTTCGCATCGCCGCGTTTCTTTCGGGTCCTCGTTTTTTTTTTTGGGGGGGGGGGGCCTCTTGGAGCTTGGGGGGGGCTCTTTGGTGACACTCTTTGAGAGCCTCTGAGAAACCTCTTGAGGGCATCTTGGGGCTTTTTCTGGCATTTTGAAACCCTCCTGCACCCTTTGGGGGGCATCTTGAGGCCGAAGCTCGAAATGTCCGTGCGAATGCTCTGTTTCGGCTCTCTGTTGGAGCTGTTTTGGGTGCTTCCTGTGCCGTTGTGGGGCCCCTTGGGACTGACTTCGAAGCCCTCTTGAACCGTTCGCGCGCCCTCTTCAAGACCTCTTGGGCCATGTTGGGGCGGCACTGGCGGCCTACGGGCCGTTCCTGGCGTTCCCGGGCGCCCCCCGGGGCCGCGCCCAAGAATTCCGGCATCTAGCACGAAAGCAACCCTGGGACCTGCCCGGGGTAATTGTCGCCCAGGAACCCCGAGAGCCGCCCAGCGCGCGCGAGCGAGAAATTGTCTTGAATAGGTGCCGGAAATCTTCCCACGCCTCTGGCCCGTTGGGCCGGCGAATTTTCATGCGTCATTTGGTGCGGAAAAAAGATCGTGTTTATTGGCGTGTTTGTTGGCTCTTCTCACGCAGACAAGCGTCCAGAGCTGCCCATCTCTGAAGCTATGTATGGCCCCGCATATGCCCGAGAATTGGCAAATCAGTTGCGCGAGTATTGTACCAGTGAACGCCCCAGCAAAGATGCTGCAATCAAGCGCTTGGACAAATTGAAGCTTCAATTGCAAAAACAAAAGGATGCTGGCATCAACAAAATGGACCCTGGAACTCGTGCAACACAGTCCGCGCTGCAGTCTGGCCTGCAGCCGCCAACACAACGCGTGCTTATGCATGCGGTTGTTGATCATTTACGGCCTGAGGGGCCAGTGACATACCGAATTAGCCATCGTGCTGACTGTCGTCAATTGTTTGAAGTTGTGGATGGTATGCTGCGCAAGGGCATGGACACAGTGCAATGGATTTTGTGGATTTTGTACCTTCATTTGATCTCGCGCAAAAAGCCGCTTCAGATTGCGACGAAAAATGTCCCAGCTGTGTGAACTAAGGCTGCGGTGCGAAAAACGTTGTTAGAGGTCAAACGGAAGTGCGCGATCGGCGAAACTTTGTGGGATACGAGGCGCCCGACAGGGGGCGCTCAGAAAGCACTGGAAGTCCTTGAAGGGCATTCAGAGTTGAAGAGTTTCGCTGAACATGTAGCGTCATTGCAGTGGGCCGATTGGAGACCACATCGTCTGGACACCTCTTTGTCGGCCACTCTGCCATTGTTGGGCTACCATGGGTATCGCCGTGGAAAAAAAAAAAACATTGCGATTCCTGAGCGACGCAGCGCGCCACATTTCTGGTCAACTGGTTGTGCGGCAGCGGCAAGATTGGAAAGTTCTCGTGCGCATGTTGCCAAGCACCGCAGAAGTGGCCAATGAGTTCGATTTGGCTACATTCGACAAAGCAAATGCAGGTTGTGAATACGTGGGCGCCATGCTCGCGGCTCTCTGCCCCAAAGCACAATGGCCTCCTATGTCGTTATCAGACCTTTCATGCGGCCTGTGCTTGGAACACCAAATCGACGCGCCGCATAAAGATGATGATAGGTACATGCCGGCAGCCAAGAAGCGACGGAAGCGCAAGTAGTTCTTTGGTGAACTCCCTTCCGACGCCGGCTACAATATGATGTGCGATTGAATTGTCCGCTTTCTTTGGTCAAGAACGCTGCTCCGACAACTACTTCGCCATGTTATACTGCTGAACGCTGCGGCGTTCCCCAGCAACCCCGCTACAGAGCGCGCCCCAGCGCGATGCAGGTGTCCCGGTGCAGGAGGAGGGGGGGGAAGGGGAGGAAAAGAAGGAGGAAAAAAGGAAAAGGGAAAGGAGGAAGAGGAGATAACGGAAAGTAGTCTAATCCGCTTCGCCAGAGATATACTCGCAACTCCGACCTCAGAAGCGCCTTGCTTCGCATCGGCGCCGCCGTTTTCGCTTGAGACATCATCGCACCTCTGGGGCCCGAGACACTCTCAGTTGATGTGTTCCAGCCACTGTCGCCTGAGACACTCTCGCACGTCTCACTTCGGAGGTGCCTTGCACCATGGTGGTTCGGCCACTTTCGCGTGCGACTTCTCGCAAGTCTAAGTTCAGGGATGCCCTGAGCAGAGGTGTTCAGACCACCCCTCGCTTGAAACTTCCTCGCCTGGCTGACTTCGGATATGCCCTCCCATGAGCGGAGGTGTTCAGACCATTTTCACCCGGGACGTCCTCGCAACACTGACCTCGGCGACGCACTGTCCCATGGTAGTCTGGCCACGTTTGCCTGAGACCCTCGCGCCTTTTAGTGGCGCGTTGATATGCGCAAGTGCTCAGGCCGCACACATAGTTACACTGACCATTTGCATATACATGTACATATCCATACAAACGTATCTATAATGTACATATGTACTATGCATTCATAGACGCATGTGTGTGCGCATGTACGCACGCTCGCACTCCGCTAGCGTGCGAATGCCAAAGGACCAAGGTGCATGGCGCGCAGCGCCAATGCAGTCTTGTATATATATATAATATATATTCCTCTTCTTATATTTTACAAGCTCGGACGGGGGAAAACCCCTCACCTCCCCCCCCAAAAAAAACTGGACTCCCGGGATCTGGGGCTTTGGGACCTTCCGGAGGGGCCTCGAAGCGGCCCCCCGGGCCTCGCAGGGCGTTTTGCCAAGCCTTCCCAGCACACCTAGGGCGATCAGGGGGGTCTCTTTTTTCGGTTTCCCGACGCTCCAACACGGCGGTCTTCTGGGCGTCCGAAGCCGCCTGGGAGGCTCCCAAATCGCCCCACAACCATCCGAAAAGGCTTCCAGGCAGTCCAAGAGAGCCCCAACGGCACAACACGGGTCCAAGATGGCCCTCAGAGAGCCCCGTGGCAGCCCAAGATGGCCCCAAGACACCCTCCGAAGCATTCCAAATCGTGACCCGGTCGTTCAGGGAGACCGCGGTTGGAGGCAGGGTGGCCCGAGGAAGCCCCCAGAGGCCCCCAGAATACGCCCAGGAGGCCTCCAGAAGGCCGTAAGAAAGCCTGAAACAACTTTTGTGAGGCCCCCAGAGGCTCTCCCAGGAGGAGCCTCCGCAAAAAAGAGCTGAGGAGGATGGGGAGAATGCGCAGGGTATGGCGAAAATGAAAAAAAAGAAGCATGGAGGAAGGATGACGAATAACATTATCATAGCGGCGATGCCGGAAAAGGCAACAAGGAGTTATCGTTGAATTGTCGGTTTGACCTTCATGCTATTCCGCCTGCGTACCAAACTTCAAGGACCAAGGAGCATGGCGCGAAGCGCCACTGCAGTCTTGTGTGTATATACGTACATACATACATACATACATACATACATACATACATACATACATACATACACACACACACACATGCATGCATGCATGCATGCATGCATGCATGCATGCATGCATACATACATACATACACACACATACATACATACATACATACATACATACATGCATGCATGCATGCATGCATGCATGCATGCATGCATGCATACATACATACATACATACATACATACATATATCCATCCATCCATCCATCCATCCATCCATCCATCCATACAGACAGACAGACAGACAGACAGACAGAAATGCTGCATGCACACAGACATACATACTATCATCCTGTATGTATATAAATATGCTTTACATACGCGCATGTTCCACTCCATGGATTGCATCACGTAGCTCGCATCCCATGGACCTCAGACAATGCACATCGAAAGTGCCACATAGATGGACTGCACCACAGACGCTGGACATCGAGTGCAGCAATCGCTATTTAGGCGTCGTTTTCGGGAACGTATTCGGCAACGCGCGGCCCCAAAAGCATTCGGCTTTTTCGCCCAAGCGCGTTTCTTGACGGCCCCGGGGGCCCAAAAACGGACCCCTGGAGGCCGAAATCGCGAAAGAATGCCGACACCACGGAAAATCGCAACGCCACAAGCCTGGGCTGGGGGCGTCTGGGCCTGCACATCCGCTGGCACAGGGACCTCCTCCATCTCCGGCACGCTCGGGGGCATTTGCGGCTCTGCGGCCTCGCGACCGGAGGGGGGGCGCACAGAGTTACCTGGCCACGGCAGGGCTGGAAGAGCAGGATGAGAGAGGACGGGGGGGGGGTGAGGAGGAGGACCAGTGCAAATCCAAGGCGCATCACCGATGTTGCAATAAAGCGTCCACCAACGATGCTGCAATCAACCCCCTATCCAAGTTCACTCTTCACGTCCCTACAAGAATTTCTATTTACTGCTGGAAGTACCCCGTTGGAAGACAGCTGTCTGTCTGAGACCCCTTAACCCTACCAAAACACCAATCCTTGGATTTTAGCGCCACGAACCAACTTTAGCGTTGCGTGGCGCCGACCCTGAATCGTGCCAGAAGATCATTCTTGGGACGGACTTGAACGCACCACTCGCAAGACGGTCCCGCGAGTGACTCAACGCGACTGTTGCGCCCTGGCAATCCTAACCGCGCCGGAACTGTTGTGCACTTTTAACACATATGCGCGCGGCGCTACGGCGAGAACCACATGTTGATTACCACCCGCCCTCCATTAAAAACTCTCGCGCGCTTTTGAAACGAATTCGCGCGGCGCTAAGGCAAAAACCACGGATGGGATGTCAGATATGGCGCGAGCGCGCCTAGCCTAACTTCCCCCCGACCCACCCTACCCTTATCCCACCACCCATAAACATCCCCCGCCTCCCCTCCCGCGGAGCCCCGACAGCGCCAGACGCAGCCCGAGGTGCGCCGGGGGGGCCCGCTGGCCCACGGACGATGCCGCGAACGATGCCGCGAACCCCCTTCGGCCCCTCGCCCGGATGTCGCTGGAGGTCCCGCGGGGTTCTCTGGAAGTCCCCGGGGAACCTCTCGAGGCGCCCAGCAGCCCCAAAGAGGGAGAGCGCGGAAGAGGGGCGGGAGGAGGGGGGGGGGTGAGGGCGAGCTCGGCGCGCTCGCGTCATCTCTGACGTCCTATCCGTCCCTCCCATCCCTTGCCATGGCGCAGATCTCCTCTCTATTCGCGCAGTCGGCTATCGAGCAGGGCAATAATCCCGAGGGTGCGCGATGCATCGTAGAGCACGGCGTAGCAGGGCGTAGAAGAGCACGGCAGAGCGTAGCGTGGCATAGCATGGCGTGGCGTTGCGTAGTGAAGAGTTGCGTCACAAAGCATTGCAGCGCAAAAAGAGGCATCGCACAGCGGCACAGAAGAGAACATTTTTTCCATGGAACGCAGCGCCATCATGTGCAACCGCGCCTCAGCCAGCACAGCGAAAGGATTCGCACTGCCACTGCAACCTTCACCTACACACGACAGCGCTAAGCAAGCCTGACGCCCGCGGTTCCCCAAGAAGCGCGCCGCTGAGGATGCGTGCAATGCAGTTCCCAGTGCAAGCACCTAGATCGCCCAGCGCGTTGACAAGCACGCAAAGAAACGAAGTGAGAACCCAGCCTGCCGCAGGCGCCGGCTGGAGCGGACAATTCGTGCCCCCCCTGCGCAGAGCAGCAGATATCGGACTCCACAAGAGGAGGAAGGAGAAACCAGGAGGAGGCCTCGCCAAGGAGGGAGCGCGCGGAAGAGTGGCTCACCCCGCCACCACCATGGTGTCGCACCGCGGCACCAATGTCAAGACCTCCCCGTCCATCTTGGTGCTGCGACTCATGATGACCGTCGGAGCCACGTCAGGTATTTCAGGTAACCGTCCCCGTGCCAGGGCGGAGGCTGTAGAGTGACGGGCACGGGTAGTGTTACCGGTGCGTCGCGGGCCCAGCAGCTCAACTCCCTGCGCGCAGGTCGTGCATCGAATTCATTCGCTGGTGAGCTGGAGTCGGCGGTGTGCTGGAGTCGGCGGCCGTTGAGGGCTCAAACCGGACATAAACCCCGCGCGCGAAGGTAGAGTTGGAAGCGGCGCAGGCGTCGGGGCAGGAGTCGGAGCTGAGATGGAGGTGCGCATGCACGGCCCGCATGGTGGAATGGGGCGGGCGGAGGTGAAGCCGGAGATGGAGAGCAAGCGTCGGATGTCGTTAATTGGCGTCGGTGCTGGGGTGGGCTTTGGTATTGGTGTCGGCGTGGGTGCCACTGTTGAGATTGGTGCAGGGGCTGTAGTCGGAGCGGAGGCGTTGGCGCAGGGGCTGTCGTCGGAGTGGAGGGGGAGGGTGGTCCATAGTGGAGCTGTCACCTTTGGGCTGGCCTGGGAGGGGCGTGGGAACCCGCCCATGCAAAGCCAGGAGAATTGATGCTGTCGGTCGGAATGCTGCGTTGGTGTTCGTCGGAGGTCGATAGGTGAAGGTGTATGTGGAATGTTTGATGCTGGGCGTTGCAGGTGTTTGTGCTGGTTTGGTGGAGGTTGAAAGCCGATAGGTGGGGGTGATGGTGTGAACGTTGATGTCGGATGCTGGATGTGAGGGGTCAGAGTGCGGAACTGGTGGAGGTTGGAGGTCACCCGGTGGAGGTGTAATTGGAGTTGGGTGCTAGCTCCCGGGGGTGAAAGTGCCGAGTTTGTGGACGCGGGAGGTCGATAGGTGGAGGTGGATCCGTCGTGCTGCGCGTGGTACTCTTCGTGCAGCTCGTGGTATCCGTCGTGCTGCTCCTGGCACCTGTCGTGCTGCGGATGGCATCTGTCGTGCAGCTCGTGGTGCCCGTCGTGCTGCAGCTCGCATCGGTCGACGTGGGCGCGGTCTCCGTCGTGCTGCTCGGGGCACTCGTCGTGCAGCTCACGGAATCCTCTCTGTCAGTTGAGGCTGGCAAGCCTGTAGCTGTCCTGGCCGAGTGACCGATGGATTGTGGGAGGGCGTCTGCCCTGGACTCGGCCGGAGTCGAAACTGTGCGCGAGTTTTCTCGCACCCCAAGGGTGGGCGCCGGCGTGTCGCCCTATGTGGGGGGTGCCAGCCTGTCGATATATTCCAGTGCTGCTCGTGGTCTCTGCCGCGCAGCTCGTGGGCCTCGTCGCGTTGCACGTGGTACTCGTCGTGCAGCTCATGGAATCCGCGATTGTGCTGTAGCAGGTGCAAGTGTTGGCGCCAGCGGCAGAGCTGGCGACGGCGCTGGTGTAGACGATGGCGCTGGTGCCGGCTTAAGCGCAGGCGTAAAAGCTAGCGTGTCGGAACTGGCGTTGATGCCGGCGTAGGCGCAGGCGTTGATGCTGGCGACGGTGCTGGTGTCGGCGCTGGCGGGAACGCCGGTGTTAGAGCTGAGCTGGCGTTGGTGCAGGTGTGGGAGCTGCTGTAGGCGCTGACGTTGTTGCCAAAGGAGGCGCCAGCGTTGGCACATCGGCGCTGGCGCCGGCGCAGATGTAGGTGAGGCGCCGAGGTTGATGCTGGTGTCGGTGTGGACGTCGGCGCAGGCGCACGCGTCGGCGTTCGTGCTGGCGGCGGTGCTGGCATTGGTGCGGGTGTAGGCGCTGGCGTTGGTGCCAGGGCAGGCGCTGGCGTTCGTGCTCGCCTCAGAGCTGACGTCGGCGTTGGCGTCGGCGCTGGCGCTGGTGAGGTGTAGGCGCTGGCGTGGCTGCTGCAACCGTAGTGCTGGTATCGGCGCTGTTGCAGGCGTCGACGGTTGCGTTGGTGCCGGCGTTGGCGTCGGTGCTTACGTAGGCGCTGGCACTGGTCCCAGCGTTGGCGACGGTGTTGGGGCAGGCGGTGCACATCAATCCCATGCGATGCGCTAAATGATGTAAAGCATGAGTAGGTTAGCTCCGTCTTTACAGCCGTTTATTCCTCGAAGTGGGATAGAGGGTGCTGCGTGCGGAAATAGCAGAACATTCGTGGATCACAGTTCAGCATGCTGGCGTTGGCGCAGGTGTTGATGCTGGCGTCGGTGCTGCCGTCGGCGCTGGCAAGGAGGCGACACTGATGTTGATGTCGATGGGGGCGTCGATGCGGGCGTCGGTACCGGTGCAGACGCTGGCGTTGGGTCAGGCGTAGGCGCTGACGGTGGCGCTGGCGTCGGCGATGGCGTCGGCGATGGTGTAGGCGCGGGCGCGGGGGCGTGCGACTGCAGAAGGGGTGGCGGCAGCCAGAAAGCCAGGCGGTGCACGCATCTAAGCACGATGTCCGCCAAGGAAATGGGCGCGGCTGTCGCCGACGGGATCGAAGGTGAGGTTTTGCTGCTAGATCCACTAATGCTGGTATGAAGGGTGCTGCTGGTTGTGCTGGTGCTGCGACTCCGGGCCGTGCTGGCCACAGTGGGATTGCTAGTAGCGCAGTTGCTATGCGCGGCGCTGGTCCCAGCTGTGGTGGTCACAGTGACGCTGCTGGTGACACTGGTACTGCTGCGCGTGGTACTGCTGCGCGTGGTATTCCTTGCCCATGCAAGTGGTATTCCTTGTCCATGCAAAAAGCTCCTCCCTATCACACCCTGTGATTCGGGGGTCGATGAGCTGGTCGATGCGGGAGTCGATGTGCTGCTCGGGACGGGAGTCGGGAATCGCTTGGTCCAGACCTCCCAGGGGCGGGGACGGTGAGCTGGTCGATGCGTGAGTCGACGTGCTGCTCGGAGCGGGAGTCGGGAACCGCCTGGTCCAGACCTCCCGGTGTTAAGGCCCAGTAAGACGACCGGCGTGCTGACCCCCCCCCCTTCGCGACAAGAGTTGCGTCGCGCATGCGAGGCCCGTGCGCCGCCCGTGCGTCGACCGCCGAAAAGGCCGACCGTCCTCTCGAACGTGCGCGTCGCCCTCGCAAGGGGGCAATTTGGTGAGTGCGTCGCCAGCGCGGCGGACACCCGCGGGGCGGATCGCACGCGCGTCGCCCGCTCCACGGCCGCTGAAAAGGCCAGTCGCCTTCGGGAAAAAGAAAGTCGCCCGCGCTGCGGCCCTCTCGGCGAGAAGAAGGCGGCCGCTGGGCTACCTCGGCAGATCAGCAAGTCCCTCTAACATTACAAATGCAGCGATGCTGCTGAACGCACCCCGGCGCTAGGCCAGCAGGTCCCCGCAGCCGCCGCCACAGCCGCCGCGACCGCCGCCAGCGCCAAAACTACCGCCGCTACGATCACCACAAACGGATGCGACCG